AAGAGAGAAGAGGAAAGAGAGAAGAGGAAAGAGAAAAGAGAGAAGAGGAAAGAGAGAAGAGGAAAGAGAGAAGAGGAAAGAGAGAAGAGGAAAGAGAGAAGAGGAAAGAGAGAAGAGGAAAGAGAAGAGAAAAAAGAGAAGAGAAAAGAGAAGAAGAAAAGAGAGAAGAGAAAAAAGAAAAGAGAAGAAGAGAAGAGAGAAGAGAAAAGAAAAGAAAAGAGAAAAGAAGGAAACGTGTCCAGCAAATTTTGCAAGAGGTAAAGGTTGGTAATGTTGCTGGCAGATCCATGTGGTGTCAGTGTGATGGCGGCCCGGGATGGGAGGTCTGGAGGTGTCAGCGGCAGTGCAGGAACCAGTCCAACCTGGTGCATTGTGTACACTGGTGTCACCTAGGAGAGAACTGCTCCGACCAGATGGTCTCCTCTCCCCATCTGCTGCTGCAAGCTGGCTCTGCTCCAGGAAGGGTTAATGAGCGCGTGTTGTCGGGGTGTCAGTGCCACCCCCCCCCCCTTGTAGTCACCTGTCCCCAGGTGTAATCTAATACCTGCAGAATACAGAGTCCAAAGGGCGACTTCCTGTGTTTATTCAGTCCTACCCTGCCCCATCGCCAGGCTGTCACTGAGATCCTACCGCAGGGACTGACACCGAACCAACATCCGAAATCCTGGCATCCTATTGAACGCTTCTGCCCCAAATCCTGGAACCTTGTTGGACGCTTCTGCCCTAAATCCTGGCAACTTGTTGGACCCTTCTACCCCAATTCCTGGCACCTTGTTGGACCCTTCTACCCCAAATCCTGGCACCCCATTGAACCCTTCTACCCAAAATCCTGGCACCTTGTGGGACCCTTCTACCCCAAATCTTGGCACCTTGTTGGACCCTTCTACCCCAAATCCTGGCACCTTGTTGAACTCTTCTACCTCAAATCTTGGCACTTGTTGGATACTTCTACCCCAATTCCTGGAACCTTGTTGGACACTTCTACCCCAAATCCTGGCACCTTGTTGGACTCTTTTATCCCAATTCCTGGCACCTTGTTGGACCCTTCTACCCCAAATCCTGGCACCTTGTTAGACCCTTCTACCCCAAATCTTGGCACCTTGTTGGAACCCTTCTACCCCAAATCCTGGCACCTTGTTGGAACCCTTCTACCCCAAATCCTGGCACCTTGTTGGACCCTTCTACCCCAAATCCTGGCACCTTGTTAGACCCTTCTACCCCAAATCCTGGCACCTTGTTGGACCGTCCTACCCCAAATCCTGGCACCTTGTTGGACTCTTTTACCCCAATTCCTGGCACCTTGTTGGATCCTTCTACCCCACATCTTGGCACCCTACGGAGCCCCCTATACAGGAGCAGACACCCTCTAGACGGAGCTTGGAGTGTATCTCACGACTGACCGCAGCTTATGATTGGATAGCGTCTTTGTGGAAAGGGACGCCATTCTCTGCACTCACAGGTGAGCCCCCGGCTTTTACTACACTAACCCCACACACTTTGAAGGGCCCCCCGGGGGTAGCATATGTTACATGCCTGATGAAGGGGTCCTGCGAGACTCCGAAACGTTGCCTTGCTGTAACTATGTGATCATTCATGAAAATCTTTGGCCCCATATTGGTGATCCTCGGTGTGCTGGTAACATTTTCCCTTGCTGATTCTGTTCAGTTCCAGGCGACGGTCGCTGCAGCACCCACTTATACACACCGCCATTTGTAACACAGGAACGTGTGTGTTTGGATTGTACACTTATCATTTCTTCACTGACACAAACAATGGGGCACTATTCCTTCCAATGATACCAATGATGGGCAATATTACTTCTAATGACACCAATGATGGGGCACTATTCCTCCCACTGACACCAACCATGGGGCACTACCTCCCAGTGACAACAACCATGGGGCACTATTCCTCCCAGTGACAACAACCATGGGGCACTATTCCTCCCACTGACACCAATGATGGAGCACTATTCCTCCCACTGATACCAATGATGGGGCACTATTCCTCCCACTGACACCAATGATGGTGCACTATTCCTCCCACTGATACCAATGATGGGACACTATTCCTCCCACTGACACCAATGATGGGGCACTATTCCTCCCACTGACACCAATGATGGGGCACTATTCCTCCCACTGACACCAATGATGGAGCACTATTCCTCCCACTGATACCAATGATGGGGCACTATTCCTCCCACTGACACCAATGATGGGGCACTATTCCTCCCACTGATACCAATGATGGGGCACTATTCCTCCCACTGATACCAATGATGGGACACTATTCCTCCCACTGATACCAATGATGGGGCACTATTCCTCCCATTGACACCAATGATGGGGCACTATTCCTCCCACTGATACCAATGATGGAGCACTATTCCTCCCACTGACACCAATGATGGAGCACTATTCCTCCCATTGACACCAATGATGGGGCACTATTCCTCCCATTGACACCAATGATGGGGCACTATTCCTCCCACTGACACCAATGATGGGGCACTATTCCTCCCACTGACACCAATGATGGGGCACTATTCCTTCCTCCATTATCCGACTTTGAAATTGTGCAACTTCCAGTGAAGTCACATGATTTCAAAGTCGGATGTCATTCCGACTTGTGGTGCGACTTGCAAGACATCTGCAAGTTGCACCCAAAGTAGTGTATGCATTACTTTAGAAATCAATGTGGCTCTGACCAAGTCAGAATCGCACCAATATGACCGCTGTCATTGCAGACAATAAGGTGCAACTCGCATGGCATGGCAAATCGCACTCAGTGTGCCCGGGGTGTTAGTTGAGTCTCCTGTCAGGGTGAGCATGTGCCTGGGTCCGACCATTTGTGCCACACCATGTAAGATGGGGGACTCTGTGGCCAAAAAGTGTCTCCCAGCACAGTCTCAAGAGCATGGAGGAGATTCCAGGAGACAGGCAATTCCTCTAGGAGAGCTGGACAGGGCCGTAGAAGGTCCTTAACTCATCAGCAGGACCGGTATCTGCTCCTTTGTGCAAGGAGGAGCAGAAGAAGCGCCGCCAGAGCCCTAAAAAAATGACCTCCAGCAGGCCACTGGTGTGAATGTCTCTGACCAATCAGAAACAGACTTCATGAGGGTGGCCTGAGGGCCCGACGTCCTCTAGCGGGCCCTGTGCTCATTGCCCGGCACCATAAAGCTTGATTGACATTTACCATTAAACCCCACAATTGGGAGGTCCACCACTGGCGCCCTGTGCTTTTCACAGATGAGAGCAGGTTCACCCTGAGCACATGTGACAGACGTGAAAGGGTCCGGAGAAGCCATGGAGGACGTTCTGCTGCTTGTAACATGGTTCAACATGACCATTTTGGTGGTGGGTCAGTGATGGTCTGGGGAGGCATATCCATGGAGGGACGTACAGACCTCTACAGGCTAGACAATGGAACCCTGACTGCCATTAGGTATGGGGATGAAATCCTTGGACCCATTGTCAGACCCTACGCTGGTGCAGTGGGTCCTGGTGCAGTGGGTCCTGGGTTCCTCCTGGTGCGGTGGGTCCTGGGTTCCTCCTGGTGCGGTGGGTCCTGGGTTCCTCCTGGTGCGGTGGGTCCTGGGTTCCTCCTGGTGCGGTGGGTCCTGGGTTCCTCCTGGTGCGGTGGGTCCTGGGTTCCTCCTGGTGCGGTGGGTTCTGGGTTCCTCCTGGTGCGGTGGGTCCTGGGTTCCTCCTGGTGCGGTGGGTCCTGGGTTCCTCCTGGTGCAGGGGGTCCTGGGTTCCTACTGGTGCAGACAATGCCCGGCCTCATGTGGGGAGAGTATGCAGGCAGTTCCTGGAGGATGAAGGAATTGATACCACTGAATGGCCCCCACGCTCACCTGACCTAAATCCAATAGAACACCTCTGGGATGTCATGTTTCGGTCCATCCGATGCCCACAAGTTGCACCTCAGACTGTCCAGGAGCTCAGTGATGCCCCGGTCCAGATCTGGGAGGAAATCCCCCAGGACACCATCCGTGGTCTCATTAGGAGCCTCCCCCGATGTCAGGCATGCATACAAGCACGTGGGGGCCACACAGACTACTGAGGACCATTCTGAGTTGCTGCAATGACATTTCAACAAAATGGACTCACCTTCTGCATCATTTTTTCACTTTGATTTTCGGGGTGTCTTTGAATTCAGTCCTCTGTAGGTCGATCATCATTTTTTCATTTCCATCAAATGATGGGGCGTCCTTACGTTCCTCACCCATCACCCATCCATGACAGGAACTGACAATGTTTCTTTCATTTTTTGAGCCGTGTATTATAAATGGTCAAAGTGCGCTTATTGTTATCCTACAATCCCGATCCACCAGAGATGGTATTTTCACCGACATCCATGTGAAAAAACCATGGGAAGACCAAAGGATCAAAAAATGTACACTACCATGGGAAAGTACATGCTACAATGTTCAAGCCATTTATTAAATATAAATAAAAAAGAGGCACTACCACCCTGTATAAAATCCAAACTCTGATAGATAAATTAGCAGGCTGAACGCTTCACAGAAACAACACTTCAAGTCGCCTGAAGCCAAACGGCTGAAGCTCCAAAAAATTCTGCAGCTTTTTTTGTAGCTTAAATTTGGCATTTTTGGTGCATTTTTATTCCCATAGAAATAAATGGAAACGTGCAATTTTCGCACGTTTTAGAGCGTTTTTTTGGCTCAAAAGTAAAAATGTAAAAAATATAATAATATATATATAAAAATGTATGTAAAATAAATATACATCATCATAAATAAAAAAATAAATCAAATAAATTAATATGTAATAATAAATAAATAATAATTAACCCCCAACCCTAAAATAAAATATATTAACCACTTCAATACCGGACACTTTCCCCCCCTTCCAGTCCAGACACTTTCCCCCCCCCTCCAGTCCGGACACTTTCCCCCCCTTCCAGTCCGGACACTTTCCCCCCCTTCCAGTCCGGACACTTTTACCCCCCTTTCAGTCCGGACACTTTCACCCCCCTTCCAGTCCGGACACTTTCACCCCCTTCCAGTCCGGACACTTTCACCCCCCTTCCAGTCTGGACACTTTCCCCCCCTTCCAGTCCGGACACTTTCACCCCCCTTCCAGTCCGGACACTTTCACCCCCCTTCCAGTCTGGACACTTTCACCCCCTTCCAGTCCGGACACTTTCACCCCCCTTCCAGTCCGGACACTTTCACCCCCTTCCAGTCCGGACACTTTCACCCCCCTTCCAGTCCGGACACTTTCACCCCCCCCTTCCAGTCCGGACACTTTCACCCCCCTTCCACTCTGGACACTTTCACCCCCTTCCAGTCCGGACACTTTCCCCCCCTTCCACTCTGGACACTTTCCCCCCTTCCAGTCCGGACACTTTCCCCCCCTTCCAGTCCGGACATTTTCCCCCCCCCCCCCTTCCAGTCCGGACACTTTTCCAGTCCGGACACTTTCCCCCCCTTCCAGTCCGGACACTTTCCCCCCCTTCCAGTCCGGACGCTTTCCCCCCCTTCCAGTCCGGACACTTTCACCCCCTTCCAGTCCGGACGCTTTCCCCCCTTCCAGTCCGGACGCTTTCCCCCCCCCCTCCAGTCCGGACGCTTTCCCCCCCTTCCAGTCTGGACGCTTTCAGCCCCTTCCAGTCTGGACACTTTCACCCCCTTCCAGTCCGGACGCTTTCACCCCCCTTCCAGTCCGGACGCTTTCACCCCCCTTCCAGTCCGGACGCTTTCCCCCCCCTTTCCAGTCCGGACGCTTTCCCCCCCTTTCCAGTCCGGACACTTTCACCCCCTTCCCCCCCCCCCTTCCAGTTCGGACACTTTCACCCCCCTTCCAGTTCCGGACACTTTCACCCCCTTCCAGTCCGGACACTTTCACCCCCTTCCAGTCCGGACACTTTCACCCCCTTCCTGTCCAGGCCAATTTTCAGCTTTCAGCGCAATCACACTTTGAATGAATTGCTCGGTCATGCAACACTGTACCCATATGAAATTTTTATCATTTTTTTGCACACAAATAAAGTTTTCTTTTGGTGGTATTTAATCGCCACTGAGTTTTTTTTTCTATTTTTTGCTAAATAAAATAAAAAACACCTGAAATTTTTGAAAACAAAAAAGCACTTTTCTTTGTTTCTGTTATAAAATTTTGCAAAAATAAAATTTAGGTCAAAATGTATTCTGCTACATTTCTTTGGTGAAAATAATTAGCTGTGATTGGGTAAAGCTGGTCACATGATCCTTGACCAGCCACAGCTAACAACATAATTGTATACAATGGATGGTATGACAAGAAGCCATCCATTGTATACAATCGACATGTGATCTGCTGTGATTGGTCACATTTCACTGGCAACAGGCAGTTGTAGTGATATGTCATCGGCTGTGTCCCGTGGATACAGCCGGAGACAGATTGAGACGCTGCCCCGAGGCCGAGTGAGCGACTTGTTTTGACAGGACAGCATATGACGCCCCGTCACAACGGCGAATGTTAAACACATTATTATTAATATTATTAGTATTAATTAAATAATAATAATACAATATTAATAAAAACCCGAACAAAAAAAATAATAATACATTATATTTGTTTGTGATAGTTAAGATTTTATTATTATTACTAAAAAAATATTATTTTTAATATTTATTTTAAAAACATTTTTTAGAGGTTAGGGGGTTAAGGTTAGGGGTTAATTATTATTTATTATTACATAGTATTTATTGTATGTATTTATTCTTTATTTAGGATTATTTGTATTTATTTATTTGTGTACTTATTTTATATTTATTTATTCTTTTATTATTGTTATTTGTATTATTATTAACAACCCAAGCCTAACCAAAAAATTAGAGAATAAATAATAAGAGGACCATAAAATATTTACACCTAACCCCTAATCCTAACCCTAACCTGACCTTAACTCTAACTCCTTACCCTAACAAAAAAAAAAAAATAACAATAAAAGCATAAAAAGAAATAAAAGCTGATGAAAAATTTAAAAAAAATCTGAAAAACCCAGCAACAAATGATGCGACAGATGATATTTTTCTCTACTGGCTAATAAAAAAACACCAAAGCTCAAAGACACCTAAAAATGCATCATGAAAATACAAAAATCATGCAAAAAGTTGCACAAAAAAACGCTCCAATTTGCTACACGTAAATGAAACTTCATCCAAAAGTTTTGCTTGTCTGCATCCTCCCCCCCTCTGTCACATTGTTCCCTTTATGGGGGGGTACCTGGTTTTGATCTGAGATGGTAGTTCACCCCCACTCCTTCCCCTGACCTTTCATTTTTGTGGGGGAGCCCGGAGCTCCGCTTTAAAACGAAAAAATGTTGACCAAAATCCTTCTGGTGTATGGCCAGCTTAGCGGTGGATTTTGGTTTATGTTCAGGAAAGTCCATTCATTCCACGATCCAATGTTAGAAGGAAAGGAGGTTTTGTGCCACTTTAGATCGACATTCGTCAGGTCATGGAATGTGCTGCGGATTTCAGTACGAATTCTCATCCAATCATTTATTTCAAAATCTACTAATGCAGGGCAAGCTTTACAAACTCGTTCACTCAAAAAAAAAAAAAAAAAAATTTTATCAAATGAAAACCACATACATTGCTAGAAATTCATTTGAGTCAAATTTTCCATCCTGCTCCCTTCGTTCACACTGCTGAATTAACACCGGTTTCTGTGAGATTTCCACACCGCGTCACAATCGCACCCCGTTCATTACTGTGTGTCTGTTAACCCCTCAATGCCGACGTCACACAAATACGTGGCCTCACAGAACTGGGCTTTTTTCTGTAGGGCCGCATATTTGCGTACCTGACTTTCTGCACGGCGCGCTCCCAGAACAAAGACCGCGGTGTCACTGAGAACACCGGATCTCGTTCTAACGATCGGGACCCGGGACTCCTGATTCCGGGTCACATGATCGCTGTGATAGCCTCTGATTGGCTATCACAGTGATCAGTCACTGTACAGCCCGGCCCCCTTGTTGTTGTTTTTTTCTCTCTCTCTCTCTCTGAATGGAGGAGAGAGATACATTGTATCATTATATACATTCCATTATACATTGTATCATTATATATACATCCTATTACACATTGTATCATTATATACATTCTATTATAACATTGTATCATTATATACATCCTATTATACATTGTATCATTATATACATTCCATTATACATTGTATCATTATATACATTCCATTATATACATTGTATCATTATATACATCCTATTATACATTGTATCATTATATACATTATATTATACATTGTATCATCATATAAATTCCATTATACATTGTATCATTATATACATTCCATTATACATTGTATCATTATATACATCCTATTATACATTGTATCATTATATACATCCTATTATACATTGTATCATTATATACATTACATTATACATTGTATCATTATATACATCCTATTATACATTGTATCATTATATACATCCCATTATACATTGTATAATTATATACATCCCATTATACATTGTATCATTATATGCATCATATTATACATTGTATCATTATATACATCCTATTATACATTGTATCATTATATACATTCCATTATACATTGTATCATTATATACATCACATTATACATTGTATCATTATATACATTTCGTTGTACATTGTATCATTATATACATTCTATTATACATTGTATCATTATAATACATTCCATTATACATTGTATCATTATATACATTCTATTATACATTGTATCATTATATACATTCCATTATACAATTGTATCATTATATACATCCTATTATACATTGTATCATTATATACATCCTATTATACATTGTATCATTATGTACATCCTATTATACATTGTATCATTATATACATCCTATTATACATTGTATCATTATATACATTCCGTTACACATTGTATCATTATATACATCCTATTATACATTGTATCATTATATACATCCTATTATACATTGTATCTCTCTAACTCCTGGCATAGAGGGGGAAAAAATTTTGTAAAGAAAAAGAAAAGAAAAAAAAAGATAAATAAATATTAAAAAGTAAAAGAAAAAAATACCTAGATCAAGGTTTGATCTAGTTCAGTGCCAGGGTAAGTGTTTGGGTCAAGGTCAGGGTCAAGGGTCAAAGGTCAGGATTAAAAAAAAAATTGGTGTCAGTGTGTTTTAGGTAGAAAAAAAAAGTACACAATTGTTTCTGGGCTGTACTCCGGGTACAAACAACAAATAAATACACATATATGGTATCGCTGCGATCGTCAAGAGCTGGAGAATTTATTTTGGGTTGTTCTTTGGTGGTAGGTTATGGTAGTAAGAAGAAACACACAGCTAAATTTAAAAAAAAAAAATATTATTTTTTTTTACTATTTTGGGCCAGTTTTCCTTTGATAATAAAAAAAAATCAGGAGCTATCCATGACCATTTACCACCAAATGAAAGCCCAATTTGTCCTGAAAAAAAACGCGGTATAATCCACCCGGATGTACAAAGTAGTTGCGATGATATGGACGGTTTTACTAACACATGTCAACGTTGTAAAATTGTGCTTAGGCATTTAGATTTGTTTTACTCTTAGGCATGAAGGGGTTAAGTTAGCAACACACCCGAAATCAGTTCGCAAAACACGGTGCAATGTGCATTCTAAAAATATTCTTCCCAAATATATTGCTACAATTTTGAACATATTCAATATATTTCAATACATATATATTTCAATAAATATATATATATATATATATATATATATATATATATATATATTTAACATATATTAAAATGACTTTTTTATATGTTAAAAAAAATCTGAAGAATATATTTAAAATATATATTTTTAAAAATATATTTTTTTTAAATATATTCTTCAGATTTTTTTTAACATATAAAAAAAGTCATTTTAACATATATTTGTAAATGCATTCCAAAAATGTAGATTTGTGTTTTTAAAGACATACAGTATATTCGAAATGTATTTTTAAAAATATCTTTCATATATTTTTGTAATAAAAACCCATTTCAACATGCAGTATATCGATATATATATATATATATATATATATATATATATATATATATATTATATTATTATATTGAAATATATTGAACATGGCCAAAATTGTAGCATTTCAAATATATGGCAATATATTTGGGAAGAATATTTTTAAAATATATTTCAAATATATTTTTCTTCCATATGGGAAATCCTGTATAATAATAATATTTAAGGAGAGTGGATTTGGGGTTAACTCCAGAACAGGAATTGGGGGGAAATCTTAGCATGGGGAAACTAGTTCTGGTGATTCTGGTGACAACCAGGGACTTCCTTGGCTATGGGACAGGAAGTGAGGGGAAATCTCCCCAATGGGGACAAGAGGGCAAAAAAAAAACCCTGACAGGGGTTCTAACCCTGCCTTACTCTGTCCAAAATGAAAAAAAAAAAAAACATTTTTCCTAGTTCCCATTTCACGGTATTTATCACCCTGCTGGATTTTCTACATGGATGAAGTAGTACAGAGGTGTGTGTGACTGTGCTTTACTGTTCCCCTCATACGCATAAACATTATTTTTATAAATGGGACAGTGCAGACATGTAAAGCTGTCCAGAGCCCATTGTTGTATGTATTCTCATTCCTTCCCGGGCCAGCTATGCATGTAATCCTAGATGAAACTATATACTGCAGAGTGTCATAGATGTGAAAATTCCAGATACAATGTATGTACGTGTCATAGATTTCACCATGCCAGGAACAGTGTATATACGGTGTCGGTAGTCTCATTCCAGATACAGTGCATATACACTCATTCCAGATACAGTGTATATACGGTGTCATAGATCTCACCATCCAGATACAGTGCATATACGGTGTCATAGATCTCACCATTCCATGATTCCAGATACAGTGTATATAAGGGTGTCATAGATCTCACCATTCCAGATACAGTGCATATACGGTGTCATAGATCTCACCATTGTATATACGGTGTCAGATACAT